AGTGTCAGGGCCCGGCCTCGGACTCGGAGGCTCCCTGACCTCAACCCCCATCTAGCCTGTCCTCACACTATGCGGGGCATGAGATGTATAGTAAAAGAAAGGGAATATATACACTTGCCTATGCGGGGCATGAGATGAGAAGAAGGGTAAAGGTCTCATCTCCCCGCATGGTTGCTATATAAAGGAATGGGTCACATGCCCACAACTGTACAGCTCCTAGAGTTGTGTAGTGTGACCCGGAGGGAACATCCAGGTGGCAGTGCCCAGTAAGTGTGGGAACGTTCTGGGCGAGTTGCTCACCCAGAACTGTGGCTGTGACCCATGGGAACATTCTGGGCGAGCTGCTCGCTCAGAAAGTTCCCGCGCTATCCCGTGCGCGCGTGTACACAACACACAAAGGCAACAACAAGGCAACAGTCAAAGAATAAAAGGGGGTAAAGTAGGTGGGGAGTCCAGGGCACCCTAAGGCAGGGTGCTGAACCCTGACAGAGAGGCAGGAGTTCAGACCAATTATCCTGCTGATAATTACTATAGATGTGCAGGTACTGCTCAAGCGTCTGGTTCATCTGTTTGGTTTGTCCATCTCCTTCCAGATGATAACTGGAGGTGAAATGAAGGTGGATGTTGAGGGCTTTACCAAGTGAATGGAAAAAGTGGGAAACAAACTCTGGACCCTTGTCGGAGGTGATGTGGGAAGGAACTCCATGCTTGGAGAACACATGGAGAAGGAACAGTTTGGCCAGTTCCAGAGAGGTGATGGTATTGTGGGTAGGGATGAAGATGCACTGTTTAGACAGGTGGTCCACAATGACCAGGATGGAAGTGAATCTAGAAGAGGAGGGAAGCTGTTCAATGAAATCCATGGAGATGGAGTTCCAAGGGCAATTGGGGATGGGGAGTTGTTTTAGTAAGCCATAAGGCTTGTGACAAGGGACTTTGGCACAGGCACAAGAAGTACAAGCAGACATGTAGTTCTTGACAAAGGTGCAGATAGCCAGGTATATTCACAACAGACTAGCTCTAAGGTCTGGTTTTGACCAAAGTGTCCAGAGAGCTGGTGGTCATGTTTGTCTTGCAATATGTGGAGATGAAGGTTGTTGGAGTCCGGAACATGAATGCAGTTGTCCAGCCTTAACAGGCCTTTGGCATCAATGGACCAGCAGGAATTGGGGAGGTTGGGGGAGGTGAGGTGAGAAGAGATTGTGGTGTCAGAGGAGAGGGATGACAAGATGTCTTGATGGAGGGCCTCTGTGTCAATGAGTATGGCTGCCTGGATTACTGTGGTGGCTAGGAATGTGGCTTGTAGGGATGCAGTGAGCTGCTCTGAAGTGAAGACCAGTTGGGAGTTCTGCAGATTGACGTGAGTGTAGTCCATATCCCCTTCTTTGGGATAGACGTCCCAGTGTCTAGTCAATGCATCTGGTTTTACTCCAAGTCTTCCAGGGCAGAATTGGACAATCATGTGGAACTGGGAGAGGAACTCTGACCAGTTGGCTTGTTGCTGAGTCAAGAGTTTGGTGGTGGAGAAATACTCAAGGTTCTTGTGGTCAGTGACAATGTTGATTGGGGTTCTGGAGCCTTCAAGATAGTGATGCCAAGATTGGAATTGTCAGGATCCAGACCCCAGCTGGGAGTGGCTGGAGGGCGAAGCTGGGTGTGGAAGCTGGAGTACTCTCCCCAGCTGCTAACTCCTCGAAGTCGCTGAGGGGACTAGCCTCAGCCTTCACAGGGAATGAGCTGAGAAGAAGGGTAAGCTTCTCAGCCCCCTGTGAGGCCGACACAAAAGGACCCTAGGAGCTATACAGTTCCCGCTTGCTGCCGACTTTCCATAATGGGTTCGTGCACGTGCGTCATTATGTGAAACAGTGGGGGAAGGATAGGGGGAATGGGGAAATGTGGGGAGAGGGTGGTTAGGGAAGGGGTGAGGGTGTCTGAGGGTGAGTGGGGTCAAGGGCTGTGCCCTGACAGGAATGCATTGTGGATGGTTGTCATATCCATACATACTGTCACGACCCGACATATCCGTCACTTCCCTCTATGCGCCCTAGTGTCACTTGGTCCATCCCTCCCGCTATCATCATCATCCATCCACCCATCCGTCCACCCGTCACCCTCATCCGCACTTCCTCCCTCGCGCACGTACCTACCAACCTAGGTTGCCCGCTTCATTGTTGTCTGCCCCCAGCCGGACGGCTTGCTAGACGGCCGGATGGCCTTTTCTCTTTTGTCCACTTACGGACTATTGTTCTTTCCTTTTGTTCCTTGCTTGCCTTTTGTTGATCAAGTTTGCCGATATTAACTATTTGTTCCTTTCTTCATTCATTAATATCGCGCTTGATCCGCCACTCCTTCCGGGCCGGTCTCATTTAGTTACTGTGTTTATAATGCGTGCAGGTTACACCGGATGTACCTCAGTTCGTATATCGACTTGGATTCCCCCTCTGAACTCTTATCCTCATCGTAAGGCTTCTGTCTGAAATTGGGACACCAACGTAAGAACGAAGCGCAGTGCTCCACCTGAGTCGCTGAAGCTAAAGTCCCGCCCCTCCGACCTTACGAGCCCGGACGACCTCGCGTGCCTCGCGGGTCACCCGGATACGCTTCTGGCACGTTCCTGACACATACCCGATCCTGAACGGACTCCCAGACCCTCATCTTCTTCTCCTCCAGAGTCCTACCCTACCACCGTCCATTCCAATATTCATCTTTGGACCTGACACCACTCCTCCTCTTACCCCTCATGTCACCTCCACCCTTCCGTCCTTCTCCTACCCTACAGTGCCCCAAAAAACTGTTGCAATGTTTTGCACTTTCACTTTACAAGCTTATTGCACCCTGGGAAGGGATCCTAAAATTGCATGAAAATATGAAAATAATGCACTAGTAGCTCATCAATAGCTCCACCAATTCTCTAATAAATGTGTCCATTTTTGGTAAAGTTATTCACTTTCCAAAGGACCCATGTCATTGCAATGGTTTTTTGGTGTGCATTTTGGAGAAAGATTAAATTCTGGCAGACACTTGGTCCTATTCTCTCCCACTCCTCCTGAAACTGATCCCACAGCTCATGAACACCACTTGGAGGTTCTTCATACTCCCCAACCTTCCTCTTTACATGGTTCCATAATTGTTTGATTGGATTAAGGTCTGGGGACTGGGAGGGCCACTCCATGACCCTGATGCCATGGTTATTGAACCAGTTCTGGGCCCTTTTGCTGGTGTGTTTTGGGTTGTTGTCCTGTTGGAAGAGGATGTGGGCTGGGTATTTGTCATAATATGAGAGGGTTTGCTGGAAGTCCTCTTCCAGGATTTGGCAGTAGAGCTCTGCATCCATCTTCCCATCAATCTTGCATGCCATTCCAACTCCATCTGATGTCATACATCCCCAAACCATGACAAAACCACCACCAAACTTTTTTGTTCCTTGTACCAGCCTGTCTGTAAGAGGTTCATCCCCCCATTTCCACACCCATTTCCTCCCATCTGAGCCCAGGTGATTCACCTTAGTCTCACCAGACCACACCACTCTCTTCCAATCCTCCAGAGTCCACTCTTTGTGGCTGATTGTGAAGTCCATTCTCTCCATCTTATGATGTCTGCTGAGCATGGGCTGCTTCTTCTTCACCACTGCTTTCCAACCAGCCTCCTTTAGTTGCAGATGAACAGCCTCAGTTGAGAGGCTGGTGCTGGTGACTTTTTGAAGAATTTGGGTGACTTGTGCAGCATTGTTGGCTTTACCAGAGTTGATAAGATGCATTGCATGACGGATATTGGTGTCTGAGAGCTTAGATGGGCAACCACCACTGGGCTTAGGAGTGTCAGGATGATGTTTAGACCAAAGATGGGTAACAGTGGAATGGTGGACAGCAGTAATTGATGAGCACTGTGGCCGGAATCAATGAGAGAAAGCACTTGTTCAATTTTCAAAGCAGCCAATTGACACATTTTAGAATTGGGGATTACAGCTTAAAATCCATGTGTATTTATGCTTCAGCAATGTTTATTTGTTTACTAGTGTGTATACTAAACAATATCACATGACCTATCAGATGATATTTCCAGTTTTAGTCCATTCTGGCAGCACACCAAAAAACCATTGCAATGACATGGGTCCCTTGTGAATTAAATAGCTTTACCAAAAATGGACATATTGCGTACATAATTGGTAGAGTTATGGACAAGATACTAACACATGTTTCACATATTTATTTAAAATTTTAGAACCCTTTTCCATTGTTTAATAAGCTCTTGAAGTCAAAGGTACAAAACATTGCAATGGTTTTTTGGGCACTGTATCTCCATCCGTTCCGATACTCGCCTTCGGACTGAACATCACCCCTCTCACCACCCTCCTCTTCTTACTCCTCATGACACCTCCACCCTTCCGTCACTCTCCTACCCTACCTCTGTCTGTTCCAATACTCACCTTCGGACCTGACACCATTCCTCTACCATTCCTCTCCCCACTCCTTCCGTCACTCTCCTTCCTCTGACCCTCTTCCGCCAAACCTCTGCCAAGTTACAACCTTCCACTGCTGTCCCATACCCTGTACCTGGACACCACTTGTGCCTTCACTCTGAGATTCTGTCATAGTTCCAACCTCGGACTTTGACTCCACCTTGGCTTAAGTCCATTGTATTTGTCATATCCGTGCATACCCAACCCCGACCCGACTTCCGGACCTCCTCCTTCTCCACCTCCGGAGTCTTACCCTACTGTTGCCCGTTCCGATGCTCACCTTCGGTCCTGGCAACACACCTCCTTCTACCTCCCATGCCACCTCTACTCCTCCTTCCCTCTCCTCCCCTATCTCCGTCCGCTCCGATACTCACCTCGGACCGAACACCACCCCTCTCACCACCCTCCTACTCTACTCCTCCTACTCCTCCACTCTGCCCCCACAAAACCTCCACCCTTCCGTCATCCTCCTACGCTCCATCCACTCCGATACTCACCTTCGGACCTGACAACTCCCCTTTCTGCCACTCCTTCCCTCTCCCCTCTGGTACTCTCCCACTGACCTCCCGCCAAGTTACGACCTTCCACTGCTGTCCCGTACTTCGTACTCAGGCACCGATTGTACCTTTGCTCCGAGCCTCTGTCATAGTCCCTACCTCAAACTTTGACTCCACCTCGGTCTTAGTCCATTGCATTGGTGACCTCATACTACATAAACACCATTGCCAATATTCCTCGGACTTTCAACCCCACCTCTGTAAGCTCCATAAGCTCCGCAACCTCCGAGCTTTGCGGATCACCTTCGGCACTTTCACCGCTTGTAATGTATCTCTTGTGTTTTCCCCTCATCCCTATTTGGACTGCTGCTTCTTCCCATTCTAGCCAGTTAGTCATCATCCCCACTTCTCACCATCCTCCTGCCCCTCTGGGCCTCACCCTCCCTACCTCCTTTCGGACGTATCACAGGTTCTGTCTCATGACCTTCAGTACCACTCCGCTTCTGTCTACCCTTTGTTCCCGTTCGGACGTTGTAGGTGGGATAATCGCCCACACGCAGAGCCGGCTCGGATATTCATTTACACCATTCAAAAATCATCTTCATTCATTCTATAATTCGATACAAACTTGGTACCTAAAAATACTCCTAATTCCTACAAATCCGTCGATGTCAAGATCGTCCCAATCGGTGGAGATTTGGTGGAGTTAAGTGTTGGGGAGGTTGGCCACGGCGCGGGTCACGGGATCTGGTCATGTGCGGGCATGGGAAGTTCAATTTAGGCAAGCGGGAAGTCAGAAAAGCATGCTTCACACATTCCCAAGGCATCAAATAAATTGGGAAAAATGTTCTTTAGCTGCGTAAAGGTTATTCCCAACCACATTTCCAGTTTCAGGTACTAATTTTGTGAAATCATTGATGAATTCTCGATTTTCTTCATATTTTCACATTTCTACCATCATTTTGATATATTGGATGATATTCTTTTATTCCTTTGATGCCCTTTTCAAATATTTCGCTTACGATGGGGTCCAGGAGCCATATGGCGCCAATATTTCCCATCAATCATTTCTAAAAATGTTTATTCTTTATAATCCTGTACATACCGGGATTGAAAAATTAAGTTCTCCCCTCCCTAATTTTCTCTAAGGCGCTAGGACGTGCCAGAGTTAGTGTGAGTGTGTGTGGAATTCCTACAGTAGGAGTAAGGGCAGTTGTCTAGCCCACAAAGAGTGGGTAGTGGATACTGAGCCGGGACCTTGCAGAATTTCCGGAGAATTTCCAGGAGTTTTTGGATCGAGGCCAGTGGAGAAAGGAGTTCTTGTGGAGAGTTTCCCCCACGAGCTTGGTTGGCGCTGAGAGCCGCTAGCTCTCTTGCAACGTCTTCATTCCGATTCGGATCCCCTTTGTTTCCTTGTGCTTTTGCCCCCTCCATTATATATATCGGCGCTTGTACATACTTGTTTTGGCCTCAGTCCGAAATCGACCTGAAATGCCCCCTAGAGACTTCCTGCTCGCCTACTGTGAAATTAAGGACCAAATGGACAAACAGCAATGGCACAGCACTCCGCTTGAGTCGCTGAGGCCAAGGTCCCTCCATGCTAAGTCTCCAATTCCACTCCGGAGTCATCTGAATCCGCCCGTTCTAACAGTATTGGTGACCTCATACTACGTAAACACCATTGCCAACATTCCTCAGACTTTCAACCCTGCCTCCGTAACCTCTGTAAGCTCCACAACCTCTGAGCTCCACGGATCATACTCGGCACTTTTGCCATTTGTAATGTATCTTTCACGCTTTCCCCTCATCCTTATTTGGACTGCTGCTTCTCTCCATTCTAGCCAGTTAGTCATCATCCCCACTTCACCTCATCCTCCTGCCCCTCTGGGCTTCACCCTCCCTATCTCCTTTCGGATGTACCACAGGTTCTGACCTATGACCTTCGGTACCGCTCCGCTCCCATCATCCCTTTGTTCCGATTCGGACCCCCTTTGTTTCCCTTGTGCTCTCATCTCCCTATTATATACAGGCACTTGTACATACTCATTTTGGACCAAATGGACAAACAGCAATGGCACAGCGCTCCACATGAGTCGCTGAGGCCAAGGTCCCTCCTTGCTAAGTCCCGGTTCGCCTCTGGAATCATCTGCCCTTGCCCAGTTCTAACAATGTGAGCAGTTCCTTGTCATGGGTGTCATAGTTGAGTTCTGGCACCAAAAGGGTTCTTGAGTGGAACATGATGGGGCAAATCTCTCTGTCATCACAATGGATGGACAGGATTCTGTCAGGGGATGATCCCTGGGTCCCCATGACCCTGCTTTATGGCCCACAGCCTAACCTGTAAACAGCCCTGTCCAGGGCACAATCCACTGTGCATAAGAAAGTGAGAAGAAGGTTAACTTCTCACTTTCCCACAGTGGCCCCAATATGGTGAAAACTTCCGGGGATACCCAGAAGTCACATGAGGGCAGGACCCAGGGCTGGATCATGTGGCACATGGAGTGTGCAGCATGGGAGGTGCATGCAGGAAGTGTAGCAGGTCCAGATAAGGGTCCGGGTCCAGGCTAGTCAGGGTGTGTGCCCTGACAGATTCCTGAGATTGTGTAGTTGGAGGCATCAGTTTCCACAATGAGTGGGACATTGGGTACCCAATGCATCAGGATGGGGGCTGATGTGAAGGCTTCTTTCAGGGTGTTGAAAGCAGATTGACAATCATCAGAGAAGATCCAAGGGGCTCCTTTGCATGTGAGGCATGTCAAGGGGACCACAATGTCAGAATATTGGTGAATGAAATGCTGATAGAAGTTAGTGAAACCAAGGAAGGATTGTACATCCTTGACTTTATGGGGCTCAGGTGAAAGGTTTTGCTTACTATTTTGGGGATGGTAATGTTCTGTTCCCCTGTTTGCCTCAGGCCTCATCTAAATATAGGCTTGGATGTGCTGCATATTCAATGGGGTAGAGGTAAAGGCTACCAGGCCTTTACAACTAGTCCAAGGTATATATATGTAAATTACATATCTTGGCACAAATAAATACAGAAATAACAGCATCACTGTAATTGGAATTATAGTGAAGTAAGGTTAATCCCTTACATCAGGCCAGTTTTGACCTTCTCAGTGGACATGGTGAGTCCAGAGGGAGAGAGGCAATATCTGAGGTATTCCATAGTGTCTGTATGAAATTCACATTTCTTTGGGTTGGCATATAGGCTGTGTTTGCGGAGTCTCCTAAGGACTTCTCAGACATGCTCCTGATGTGAAGCCATGTCTTCTGAGTAGGTAAGGATATCATCTAGGTAGACTACCACAGAAATGTCCAGGAGGTTGGGGAAGATTGTGTTGACAAATCACTGAAAGCATTCGTGAGACTGAATGGCATGATGAGCCACTCGTAAGAACCATAGCATGCAGAAGGAAGTCTTCCATTCGTCGCCTGCTGCAATACAAACCAGGTGGTAAGCATGCTGGAGGTCAAGTCTGGTATAGACAGTGGCATGGCTAGGTGCATCAAGGAGGTCTGATATGGGGGTTATGTCAGAGACCAGATCGAGATGAAGGATTTGTCTCCGTGGTGGAGGGCTTTGGCCTCAGCGACTCAAGCCAGGAGTGCTGTGCCAAGTTACACGTCCATGCCCTAATTTACTTACTGGCAACGAGAACTAAAGGGGGATCAACTCTTGTCGATTTTATTACTGAAGTGTAACCTATGTACAAGTTAAGTATATATAGTTACAGCAAGGGTGGGCCTGTGAATGGCAGGACTGAGTGGAGCGGAGCTAACAGAGTTAAACATTAGCCAACTGAATATTACCAACAAGTCAGGTTATGGGGTTAGTGGAATGGCAGGCGATAACCCAGAAATGGAAAGGAGGGATAGGCCCGAAGGTGGACTTGCAGGGCAAGCAAGTGAATTGCCCAGCAGAGGCAGGAGTGCACTAGTGGATGTTGGAGCTGTCTGGAAGCCTTTGGGGCTCTGTACTTAGGGAGGCATTGTAGGTGGGCACAGCCAGTACCATGCAAACGAGCTGATTATCGCGATTCTACCACCCACGTCAAGCACCCCACTCCTGAAACACATTTACCATTGTTCCAGATACCCCTTCCATGTTTCCCATATTTCTTCCGATTTTTTTCAAGCCATTCCTGACCACAGACAACCATCAGTTTCCAAATTGGGCAACTGTCACCCGCATATTCTGCCACTTCCTCCATATCTCCATCAATTCTCCACCGATCCGGACGAATTTGGTATCGTTGGAAAGCCCTTGTCAACACGAGTCGAACGATGCTACGAGTGACGCATTTGGTCCAGCGGTTGTTCCGATCGTCATGGTTCTTTATTTCCTTAACAACATCAATATTGCTTTGATATTACTTTTTTCTTACTTGTTCCTTGTGGATCTGTTGCCATCCTAAACCCGTCGGATCATTCAGATTTCCATGTATTTCTTTCATATTTATAGTTACCCTCTTTCCTGTATTTTACAAAAAAAGGACTCCCCCAACAGAGAGGTGCTCCCAATGAACATGAAGTTTTAGCAAGAAGCTTACCAGCGCCCAGAGCGGTGAATACGAAGCCAAAGAGGCTCAAGACATAGTACAGGGGCAGAGTTCCCCATCAGTTTGATTATCAGTGAGATTTACAAGTTTATCATTTTTATCACATCGCACCTGGACCATTTCTCCCCCCCCCCCCTCCTCATCATCCGAACCTCCCTTGAGCACTCCCAACCCTAGGCCCCTCTCTTTCTTGTTAGGGTGGTAGATCCCCTGCCCCCTTACAGCATAGGTAATATATTGAAAAGAGGGGTGGTGACCATCGAGGGAAGTGGAGGTGATTGCAGAATACGGGAGCTCCGAGGTTAGTGAAGAAGGAGCAGAGGTAGTCCGGAAAGATTGGAGGTAGTGGAAGTCAATGGCTGTGGATGGATATGACAGGTTAGTGGGTAGCGATCCTTTTTGGTGATCTTATTCAGCCCTCGAAAGTCAATGCAAAGACAGAGGGATATGTCCTTCTTGCAGACAAAGAGGACTAGTGCCACATGTCAGGGATGCATCTGGGGTAGAGGGGGTCCGGAGGTAGTGTCCAGCAGGGAGGTACTATCAAAAAGTGTAATCCACTTCATGAACCTTCATGGATCCCATGAATTTTCATGAAACATCATAAAGGTTCATGAACCTTTATGCTTATATACAATATTTATATTGAAATCATCAATTTTCAACCCAAAAGGTTGATTTTTTTTGGCAAGCATGAAGAGTCATGAAGCCATGCATCATGAATCTTCATGCAGAGCCATGAATGTCCATGAATGTCCATGCATGGTCATGCATGGTCATGACTCTTCACAGGAATTCATGAGCATGCCCAAAAATTCCCATACCTCCACATGAATGCTCATGACCCTTCATGAATATTCCTGACTCTTCATGGAGAGTCATGACTGAGCAGCACATGGCTTGAGTGTGCAAGGTGCAACCAAATTTCCCCCCTTTTTTCTGTATCTCATTGTGATGCAATAGTCCCAGATTATATGAAGGAATTTGGATGAGCTGGTTCACTATATGTGCACTTATTCTGCTTACTGTGCTCTCAAAAAATACAGAAAATACTTTGGGTTACATGAAACACTTGATTTCTCTCAAATTATTGCCAGTTTGATTGCCAAAATCCATGAAGATTTGGTGTAGATGTCATATCCATCCACAGCCATCACCTTCTGCCACCTCTGGTCCTCCTGGATTGCCTCCACTCCTTTGCCATCAACCTCAGAGCCTCCAGTTTCTGCAATCCCCTCCAACTCCCCTGATGGTCACCACCCCCTCATTTCAATATATTACCTATGCCTCCCTGAGTATGGAACCCTGAAGGTCTCTGGACAGCTCCAATGTCCACAAGTGCACCCCCACTTCCGCTAGGCAACTTAGTTGCCTTCCCTGCAAGTCTACCTTCAGGCTGATCCCTCCTTTCCACTTCTGGGTTATAGCCCATCACCCTGCCAAACCCTGTAACCCCACTCATCCATAATATTCAGTCAGCTTGTCATATCCATACAATCCCAACCTCCGCTCCGGGCTCCTGGAACTCCGAACTCCGACTTCCGGAGCCCTACTTCCCTTCCGTCACTTTCTCCTTGCCGACTCCCAAGAGGCTATCCCACCTCCAGCTCAGACACCACCTTCGGTCCGACTCCGGAACATTCCGGGTCCGACCCCAACCTCGACACCTTCCAGACGAGTACGCAAAACCTATGCTCCCGACTCCGGACCTCCGCTCTGGAATCCCGTTCGCATCTCCGTCTCCGGAACCTCCGGTCTTAGCTCCAACCTTGGACTTTGACCCCACCTCTGCTTATACCCATTGTATTGGTTAGCCCATTCCATTTAATTATGTTTGCCAATATTCCAGAGTTTAACCTCCAAGTTCGGACTTTCCGGACTTACTCCAGACCTTGCAACTATTGCATTGTCCATTTCAATTCCGCTATTCTCCCTCATTCCTATTTGGGCTGCTGCTTCCTTTCTATTCAGTCAGCTGGCCATTCCCCACTCCCAACCTCCTTCCTTCCTCCTTGGGCCTTGGCCCTTCATTCCTCCTTTGGGAAACACCATTGAGTCAAACACTTGACCCTCGGTGTT